CAGTTACGTATTGCTGGTGACTTACCGACTTAACAAATTGAAACATATTGATAGTACCGTTTTATCTTGAAATATGATCATCGATGTTTGTTTTTGTTTTTAAACTTACTATTTTGTATTTTATTTTCTGAATACTATTGATTTTATGTATGTCTGTACTTGTATAAGTTTCAAAACTTCAAAATACAAAATATTTGGTGCTGGAGTAAAAGTATTTTCCGAATGCTGAATGAACGCCTCGCAGGCATTTGTAGTTCTTTCACTTGATATACTGCACGACGCCCACATAAATGGCGGAAAGTTGCGTTCGTCAATATACATATAATAAGATAATCACTAAATTGAGTTACCCGTTCATCCGTAGATTTTATACTCATAAAATCGTTGCAAAGAGATTTCCAACATTTTCTGGTTCAAGTAGTGATATAGACCAAATATCCACCTTAACCATTGTCCAATTTCACTTAAATTATTCTTATACTCAATTAGTTAAGCCTAAATTGAATTTTTCTCCACCATGCTTGAGATAAATGAAAACGACAGCCGTGTAAAATAATAGTAGGCCAAACAGTAATTATAGCATTATGTAAACTTTTCAAAATCTACAACACATACTTTGGATTGAATTTAATTGATAATTTTGATTCACAAATATCAATTAAAGCCTTTAGAGTTTTTCATAAACAATAGATTCTTACTTGGTAAAGAAAAATTAATGGAATATAATGTCCATTATTTACTGTATGAATCGTAAATAATTGGTAAAATATTTGACAGTAAAAGGTCCCATCCATAAATATTTTTCTTGACAACAGATGAACTTAAATTAGTTACCGTTGAAAACGCTGTTATATTATTTTCAAAAATCATTTATTAATAAATTCTTCATTTCTATTTGTAAGTGTTGTTGTGGGACATTATTATTTCCGGAGTTTCTCGCAAATTCATGGGTAATTTTGGTATTGATTTTCTGCTCTATATAAATTTGTCGTATATTTGATATGTCTTCAATTTTGAGATCATTTGTTGATTTTTCAGTAAATATTTTTGTTAATAAGTTAACGGCTTTTCTATTAAATCATCCATAGCTTTTCTTTTAACTTGATTTGATATAATTTGTCGTTGAACGTTTTTAGGAGGGAGATGATTGTGTTCAGTTTCTTCTTTTAATATTGTAGTTTTAACCTCGTCAACAACAATTTAGCGTTACAAGTTTTTGTACACCGCCTTACGTCCATTTTAGTAAGATTTTTACATGAAAATTATAATTTTATAAAGAATAGTTCTTTCCACGTTCACTCAAAATTACTTCCATTATAATATTATACGAATTACTATTGCTATAGACGTAATCGAATTTATCACGTAATCGAATTTATACGAACGACACATACTGATCATTTGGAAAGAAAAATAGCTTGTTAGTAGTTACTTCCATAATATAATATTATTACATTATCTCATTTTTATTAGTGGATATCTCGATTTCGCAATTTATTGCATGTAGATAGATAACGATAGTACCTATGTACTGTTTAAAAAGTCGCGATTTTAAATCGTCCGAAATATAACGCAGAGTACGTTCAAATCGCCTAGTGTGTAATCAGCTTATTTTTCAACTTCAGTATTGCCGGCGCAATTTATGTATAATCTTTTTTGGACCTAAATATCGTCCGGCGCAGTTGATGTATAACCTTTTGAATCCCATAATTTTTTTTTCCTTACCTGCGATTTCTGGCGCAATTGACATATAACCCGGCATGATGCTATTATAATTATCTAATCGTAGTCCAAAGGTCACCGCGGGCGGCGATGCCTCGGAGAAGCGATATAATAAGGTATATCGTATACTATGTGTAGTTATTATATTTACTTTTTTAATTTTTTCTCGAAGAGGATTTGTAAAATCACCGGGACGCGGTGGTTTGATGTGTGAATAAAAAAACTGAATTGATTGGTAGTAAGCTCGACTAATTCTGAAAGAATTGGGGTGGTTTACTTTGAACATGAGAGAAGACAAAAGAAAAACACGTGCGTTCAGTTTGGCTGTTCTCGCTGTTATATCTTTTGCAATGCCGACTGACAAGAACCGCACACAAGCATAGAAAGGTTACGATTGTTTTATATTTGTAAATCATATCGCACGATGGCGAGCACACATTATTATTATTATAGTTTTACAGATAACGATACGATAATACGATAACATTACATATATATATATATATATATATATATATATACATATAAATACATAACACTCGCAAGACTGAAAAATGGCCTTAAGTGAAAATGAATCGACTAATAAAACAACACTTCCACGGATAGAATATAATGATCACTTCACAATAATTAAATTATTAAAACATCAATTGACATATATCAAACGTACGAAGTAAAATGCAAACATTGTGTAACTACTAAATCAAGAACTGCTGATACAAGATCCAAAACCAATTTACGAAACCATTTAAAGGTGAGTACTTTAATATTCATACTAGTTAAAAAGTATTGAATACATATTTTGAAAAACTTAACCAATATATTGTAAAAATATTTTATATTGCAGAATAAACACTGTAATATCCACTCTGTAAAAAAAATGCTTGGCTTGAAAAGAAGTAATATTGGTTTTAATGATGAACTGCTGGATTCTACTGACTTAAATAGTTCTAAAATATCAAAGGCTGGAATGTGTAATCAACCTTCACTGTTTTAATTTACGAGCATTAGAAAAAGCATTGTTTCTCAAAGTGAGTACAAAAATTAGAATATTATGAGTTTTTGACGCTTATTCTAAGTGCATTTTTCTAGGTGAATTTGATCAATTGATCCTAAATTTAATTGTAAATGCAACACTTCCATTCAGTCTAGTTGAACAAAATGATTTTAAATTACTTTGCCAAAAAGGATTTCCTAGTCGTACATTGCTTTCACGACCAACCCTAATGTGTAGATTAAATGCAGCATTTGATCATCTTATATATAATTTAATTAAAGGTATGTCTAGTGTTAAATATCTTACAACTACAGCTGATTGTTGGAGCATTTTTAAAAGGTATAGGTATACATTTTTTATTATTAAGATTAATAAATTCTAAAATGTTCTTTTCTAGTATGTATTATAAATTATAATATTATTTTATACAGATCATATATTGGTATTACATGTCACTGGATTGATGAAGAAAACTTAAGTAGTAGGAAATCTGTACTTTTGACAATTAAAAGATTGGATGGTCGTCATACATTTGATGTGCTAGCAGGTGCAATGGAATCGGTTTATTTAAAATTTGAGATTCTAAACAAAATATCTTTTACTACAACTGACAATGGATCTAATTTTGTTAAAAGTTTTAAGTAATTTAATCAGTACGATGGTACTTCTAACATTAAGTTTTAATATAAAACTATATTATATTATTAATATATTGTTTTAATTTATTTTCACGTACATTTTAGAATGTATGGATGTAAACCTATCATTGAGGTTGAAAATGATGTTCAAGATCCAGGCCTTAAGAGGACGCCACACGTAAATCGAAACGTATTTAATGCCCGAGTGAATGCGCTATTAAAGCGTAGTTTACACGATGTTAGTTTACTAGCGACTAGTAAGCTAGTTCACTATCTGATAGTAAAAAAGCATTGTCTAGTTGAGCGTGCTCGTAAACTAGCAAACTATTTTGATACTAAACTAGTTTGCGAGTTAAGTTAAAATATTTCAACTTTACTAGCAAACAAGCATGCTATTTTATCCAATGCGAGTAAAAATAGTATCATGTAATTGGGAAATAGTTGTTTATTTTGAACTAGTAGCTTGTATTTCCCCGGTAGTGTGTGTGAAAACAACAGCAGTGAGTTTGTGAAAACACTAAAAACGATACGTCGATACCGAATATTCATTATTCAGATATTATAATAAGTTTTAATTATTTATTGTTTCTGTTAATTTTCTTGTTGAATATATCATAAACAAATTAATGATGAGTCAAGTGAAGTGGAACAATGATGATATTTTCCAATTTCTCGATGTATACAAACAATATCCAATATTATGGAACATTAAACATAAAGATTATTTAAATAGAAACTTAAAAATCAGTAATTTTGAAAAACTTAAAAATAATTTAAGTAGTATCGGACTTGTTGTGGACAGTGATCAATTGCGTCTTAAAATTAAATCGATTCGTGACGTATACAGACAGGAAATCGCAAAAATCAATAGGAGCAAAAAAAGTGGAGCTGGTACTGATTCTTTATATAAACCAAAACTTATTTGGTTTAATCGAGCCAATACCTTTTTGAATGAAGTTACCTCAACACGTGAATCGTCGTCAAATTTGGTAAGTTTTATTTTTATTATACATTTTACTATACATTTTTCGTTAATTTTTATCCATCTTGTATATATGGTATTTAATTACTAAATTAATAATGTCTTTCCCAAACTGAGTGGTTATACTTGACTCTAAAATTGTAGCAATCTGATGTAAGCATATTGTAATAATTAGCATATTTTTTAATATACTTAGATTAGATCAGAATTTTAAAATTAAAATAAATATAGAAAATATAGTATAATAAATATATAGTATATATTTAACTCAAAAATGAAGAACTTACAAATATTTTATTTATATTATATTTATTATTAGGTAAGTATATTATAGACTTGCCAAATAATGAATACAATTAAATTAAATTATTAATATGTTTTAAATATTCGCAAATTAATGTATAAAATTAAGTTTCATGATTAATCTGTTATCCCACATTTTTGCCACTGCCATGGAACGGAACCCTCGTTGAAAAAAAAATCTGTGTATTTTTTTCTTATACTCTCAGCATCTTGTTTATAATTGTTGCTTCCTAATTGCGATGTTGATGCCAATCCACTTGTAAAATCACGCCACAACCCTGAAGTAACTGCGCCAGTGTTTAAATCTTCGGTGTCTACTGCATTAGATGGAAAATATGCTTTTGAATTTGTCATCCGTAGCCAATTATGTAGAGCACAAGCACTCCAAATAACTTTGTCCACGGTTGATGGTTGTAATTCTATTGGTCTTAAAAATACTCTAAATCGCCAAACTAATATTCCGAAAGCATTTTCGACTACGCGCCTGGCCCTTGATAACCTATAATTAAAAATTACTTCCTTATTGGATAATTTACGTTTGCTATAAGGTTTCATTAAATTTATTCTCAAAGGAAAAGCATCATCTCCTATTATTACATGTTCGTCAGGAAAACCTAGGGTATAATTTTCCATGGCTATATTTAATGTCGAGTCTCGAAATATGGCACTGTCACTTGCACGGCCATTTCCACCAATGTCTAAATAGCGGAAACAATAATTTGCATCTACCAGGGCAAATAAAATAACACTGAAGGTGCCTTTGTAATTGTAAAACGCTGAGCCGCTATTTATAGGTTTTTTAATTTGAACATGTTTTCCGTCAATTGATCCACAACACTTGGGGAAATTCCATCGTCTATCATATAATTCAGCAATTTTTGCCCATTCATCATTAGTGGTAGGTACCTACATAGAAATAAAAATACAATACAGTAAACATTGTGTTTATATAATTAAATATTTCAAGTATATTATACAGAATGTATAATAAGGATTTTCAATTATATTTATAATAATATTAATAACTATTTAATATTTTTATTGATTTTATTTTTGGAGTAGTAAAAGTGCTTCAATAATAAAAACCCAAATAATGTTTTAAAAAGGTGGTTTCTGGTAGCAAAGTAAATCTATATCTTACTTTGGGGGAGGGAGGGGGGTCAAAACTAAAAAATTGTCAGTAGTTTTAAAATTATATAATTATGTTTTTTTCTTAGTTTTTTTTATAATTATTTATTTATTATTTCAAAATTTCCCAATACAGACACTGAATAATCCTAACAATGGAAATTATGAAGAGCCTCAAAAACAGACTGATTCAACTGAAGTAAATAAATTACAAGAGACTACTTTTAATTCTTCGAGTAGTACGAATTTTTGTGGAGAACTTTCTTCTGAACAAGAAAAATCGCCGGAGAAAATGAAACCACCAAAATTTACACCACGTAAGAAGAAACGTTCTGATGAACCTCTTCTCGAAAATGCATTAGCTAGTTTGGATGAAATGGCTGGGAAAATAAAAAATGAAGACGCTTGTGATAAATTTGGAAAATATGTCTCTTCACAGTTACGCGAACTACCATTACGTCAAAGAATTCTCTTACAGCAGGAGATACAAACTGCTATTACTAATTCAATTCTACGCAATATTTCATCAGATGATAATCCAACACAGTTAATTCAACATCCATTTACATCACCAAATACAATTGTAACTTCAAACTCATCGAACATTTCTGAAGAAAGTCAAGCGGCTTCAACACATTCCGATTATAGTTCAACTGATGAAACAATCGATGTTATTAAAAAAGCTATGGAAAATACATTCGACGATTTTGTATTCGATTAAATCAAATATAGGTATAATAGATCGTACTACTGTATTCAATTCCTAATAATTTTTTATAATTTTACAATTAATATTATAATATTTTTTCAGTGTACTTAATAATAAACACAATAATAATATCTGATTTAATATAATCTAATAATTACCTAACATTGCTTTGATACTATTGATTTACAATTTAATTATGTTTTACTAACCTTTAAATATGATTTAAGAGCTTCTATTATCGCATCAAGAACTTCGGGCAAAAATTTTGAAATTGTACATGCTGGTACTCTGAACAAATATTGTAAAGACTTGAATGAATCTCCCGTTGCTAAAAAACGTAATGTTATCTCAAGTTTTAACTTGGCCGGTAGTGCCATTCGCATATTTGTATCTTGCTTTTGTATCATGCTTCTAGTGAGACACAAAAGATTTTCAAAGTTGTCTGTACTCATTCGCATTATGTTTCTATATGACAGTTGATCATCCACCGCCAACTCCTTAAGTAAGGTAGAAGAAGCTCCTAAATAATGTCTGTTAGAAATCCATTTTTTTACCCACAATCTCTTCTTAGTTTTTTTTCTTCTTTCAAGTTCAATTTTTATTGCGGTTCTCAGAAAATGTATACACGCCAAAACAAATTTGTTGTCCATGGCATAAACACAAATATATCACAAACTTATTATAGATGAAAAAACAAATTAAATCAAACAGCAGTGGGTACTTCACGATGACCAGTCATGAGGCTGTACTGACTACTGGTACTAGTGGTACTTTAACTACTAGTAACTACTAGTATTTGAATATCGTGTATATGAAATAACTATTTTACTATATACTAGTGAGATAGTAAGATAGTATGGTGTTTCACTAGTCGCTAGTAAACTAGCATCGTGTAAACTACGCATAAGTGTTTTCACGATCCGCAGGCACGCGACGCTAGGCCACGCCCATTATTCTTAGACGGCGGCCGGCTGTCGCGTCTACTCATCCGGGACTCGGGAGCAATATTTATTATTTTCTCAACCTTCAATCGTGACGGATCGCGTAAATTTAAAATTCGTAGACATAGGCGTGCGCACGGGTAGGGCTGATTGGGCTATAGCCCCACCTGAGCCTTTTTTTTATACTTGGGACCTAAGAAAGTAATAAGGTGTTATACGTGTTGTAACCACAGAATAATAATAATAATAATTATTCTGTGTTGTAACCGTAGAAAATTGATAAAAAAATAAATCAAAATCATAGATAATATTTAGTATTTACCATCAAAATGTGATAATTTGACCAGTATCATAGAATACCACGATTTAAGATAATATGGTGGCCCGACGAATCATGTAAAGTGTCTACCGAAATCACTATTAAAAACAGCTGGAAAATTCTCCACTAGCGCTTGAATGTAATAGTGACTATTATACCTTATAAGCATATAACAATATGTTTAATCTTTATCTTAAACGATTACCTATTGGCTATTGGTTATCTACTGATTACTATTTATCATTTTTAATATTTGTGCATGCTTTATCATCTGTTATCACTATTCCGTTTATTTTATCGTTTTAAATGGATACGTTTTATTTACCTAAAATAAGTTTTATATATTATTATCTAATAAGGTTGCTATAATAACAATGTTAATATGTTATTATACCATCTACGTATTACGTTTACGTACTGTTAAGTTGTGAATGTGATTTCTACTCTGTGTTCTTATTAATAGGTACCTAACTAATAATTATTAAAAAGTTGTTTCTTGTTTCTAACGTGTGTCTTGTGTACAAGTTATAACGCACTTTTTTCAATATGTCTTTTCAAAATGATGAAGAATATTGTCCATGTGGTAGATTGAAAGCTAAATTCAATAACGTAAACTGGCGACGTCACATAACAACATGCCGGATCAAAAAAGCAAAATTAAATAATAAATCCATTAAGTCGTTTTTTTCTAATAAATCTTCTTTGCTGGGTTCTGGATCTTCTTCTAGTATTAGTATTTCAAATAATGTTGAGAAAATCGATATAGCTTTGGTTCATAATGCTAATGCTTCCAACAATGAATCAGTATTATCAGGTAAAAATTGATTTTTATGAATGGTTATAGACTATAGTGCTTAATGCTTATTGCTTATTAAACAAATATGTCTTCAAATATAGACGATGAAGTTGAATTAGACAATCAATATAATATTGAACAAACATATAAAGAGCACATTTCTATGGAGATAATTGCTAGTAATAGTATTTCAGATGTTGAGCAAATCGCTATGGTTGGGGTTGATAATACTAATATTTCAAATAATGTATCAGTACTACCAGGTAAAAATTGATTTTTATTAATGGTTATAGTTAAATACTGGATTTATATGCATTTTAAATTGTAAAACAAACATGCACTAAAAAAAAATCAAAATATGCAAAAAAAAAAAAAATTCATAATAATATCCAAAATAAAATATACATTTTTATTACATTTTTATAATTGATTTTAAGGTACATTGTAAAAAATATTTTTTTGTTAAAACATGCACTATGTAGTATTAAATTTTGATATTTAATCAATCAATTAATGATTTGTGGACAATCATTGACTGCATGTATATGATGTTAAAAATAGCAACATGCATTTTATGCAAAATCTGGTCTTTAGTTATAGTTGTAGTTATAGTTATAGTTCTTAATGCTTATTGCCTATTGCTTATTACACAAATATATCTTCAAATATAGATGATTTAGTCAAATTAAACAACCAATGTAATATTGAGCAAACATGTAAAGAGCACATTTCTATGGTGATGGGTGCTAGTAGTAATAGTATTTCAGATAATGCTGTTGAGCAAATTGCTATGGCTGTGGTTGATAATGCTAAAGCTTCAGATAATGTATCAATATTACCAGGTAAAAATTGATATGATTGATTTATTTTTGATTTATAAGTCGTTATAGTGCTTAATGCTTATTGCTTATTATATAAATATAGGTGATACGGTTGAATTTGAACATACAATTATTGATCCAAAAGATCCATCAATTGATCCACCAAAAAATAGATTTGAATTTAAAAATAGAATTATTTGTGGTCCATATCAACCCATTATTACCTTCCCAAGAACATTAAGCGGTAATCAATATCGTGGGTTTCTTTCGCGTTATTATAATAATTATAAGTGGATAGAATATTCTCCAATTAAAGATGCTGCATTCTGTTTTCCATGTAGAATGTTCAAAGGTAATTCTTTGAACAATAGCCAACTAGATCATGCATTTTCCATTAGAGGTTTTAGACATTGGAAGAATGCAACAACAGCATTCAACAACCACCAGAATTCAAAAGCTCATAATTATAGTACTATATCAATGTCCAAATTTCTTGATGGGAACCCAATAGATGTTATTATTGATGAAAACAAAAAATTAGAACTTAGTCAACGGGAGTGCGAACGCCTAAAAAATAGGGATTTCTTTAAAAGACTAATTGATATAACTATACTATTAGCAAAATCAGGTAAACCTTTTCGGGGACATGACGAAAGTATTAATAGCTTTAATCAAGGAATGTTCAAAGAGATATCCAAACTATTAATTAAGTATGATCCAATATTTAAAAATCATATGGATTCTAGTCCTCGGAACGCTCTGTACTCCAGCAATCGAATTCAAAATGATATTATTATGGCTCTTTATAACTACTTTAAGAGAAAATTGGCATTACTTTTGCAAAATAAAAAAATATCAATAATAGCTGATGAAACCAGTGATGTAGGGCATCATCAACAGATGTCTATAGTTATTAGGTATTTTGATTCAATTTTAAACAAACCAGTTGAACATTTTGTGTGTTTGCAAAGACTTACAACCGTTGATGCCCAGTCTATATTCAACAGCTTAAATTATGTATTAGTTAATAAACTATCCTTAAATTGGTCATCTGTTGTTGGTGTATGCTTCGATGGTGCAGCTACTATGTCTGGGTTTAATAATAGAGTTCAAGCAAAATGTAAAGCAAAAAATAATTCTATAATGTACATTCACTGCTATGCCCACTGTTTAAATTTAGTTTTAGTTGATTCCGTAGGTAGAAAGAACCGTGTAGTATTTGATTTTTTTGGAACTGTACAGCTTATTTTTGCTTTCATTGAAAGTAGTTGTGTTAGGCATGCTATACTTGAAAAAATTGCTAAACAAATAAATGTAAAACTTGTAACGCTAAAATCAATATCTAACACAAGATGGGCTTGTCGATCTGAAGCTATATCCGCTATTAAATTTAATTATTCAGCTTTGGTTAAGGCGCTTCAAGAAATTTGTGATTCAATCAGACTCTCTGATGTAAGCGCTAAAGCTCGTGGATTAATTTTTCAAATGAAATCTTTTAATTTTATATTCGCCCTGAATATGCTGGAGCCTATTTTTTCAGTTATATTAAAAGTTAGTACAAATTTATAAAGCAAAGAACTTGATCTTCTAACAGCTGTTAATTTGATAAAATCTTTAAAACTAACAATATGTCAATATAGGTCTGATGATGAAGAATATGAAAAAATATACTACAATGTTATTAAAATGTGTGATGAAAATAATATTGACATTCCCAACGTCAAGAAACGAAAAATATCTAAAAAGGTTGATGACAACCATGAACATCAATATTTTGAGGAAACTAAAAAAGATGAAATGAAACATTCTTGTTTTTATTTTGCACTTGACCAAATTATATCTGGATTAAACGTTCGATTCAACCAAGAAAGTCTTAAACTAATCGAAGGGGTTGGAAATTTGGTTAATCTCGAGACTACAAATGAAGATATTTTATATTTTAAAACTTTATTTGATATTAATGTTAATGAAATAAAATCTGAAATAAAATTATTAAAAAACATGGATAACACTGAAACATTAAAAGGAACATCAACTAAAGAAGTTTATATGTGGATAAAATGGCTCAACGAGAGAGATCGGTCAACTATTTTTAAAAATGTTTTAATTGTTCTTAAGTCATTCGTTATTATTCCTGTTACAAGTTGTAGCTGTGAACGGGCCTTTTCTAAACTAAGTATTATTAAAACCAAGCTTCGATCCACAATAAACCAAGAACGATTGGATGCTCTTTTATATATATTTATTGAACAAGAAGAAACCGGGAACATCAACTATGATGAGGTCATTGAAGAATTTAAACTTTTGATTGAAGGAAATCGTAGAATTATTTTATAAAGTATAATAATTACATTTTTTGATTTGACATTTTTTATTTTTTTTAATTGCGTGTTATGTAAGTATTTATGTTAATTGACAATTTTTAATATTATATAATATTATGTTTTGAACGTTTGAATTGTTTTATTAAACTATATTTGGTCAAAATTTAAAATCAATATTGATGAATAATTGTAAGTGTGAAATAATGAAAAATTATTGCTTACATTTTCCAGTCACTAACAATATAAGGGTCACTTCAAAGTTTGTATTGAAAATTTAAAAAAAAAATTTTTTGTGTGACCAAGACAAGGGGGTGAGGTGGGTGGTCAAATTGAATTTTAGCCATACCTGACTCAGAAGTCTGCGCACGCCTATGTTCGTAGATACACTTAAATTCTGCTGCAATATTTGTAATGTCTGCGCATATTTACAAATCAACTATTAATTAGAATTACTGTTTACCCCATTTACACACACTATTATACACATTATAGAAAATAATGACATTTCACGTTTTCACATCAATACAGTTGACCGTTGCGGTGTTGATTTTATACATTAGCCACCTAAATATTATTTGTAATGTACTAACACTAAGTGCGCTCGCTACTCTCTCACAGCAATCACAACTTTTTATTAACCAACATTTCTGTTAAGTGTTAAGTACTTTTGTGTACTAATACATGAAGCACAAAATATTTTATACAACATAAGTAAATTACTTGATTTATAGTGTATTATAATAATATATATAGTAAAAGTATTTTAACGTTATTAACTTACAAGTTTATTATTTACGGCATCAATACTGTTTTCACCATCTTTTGCTACGTATGGGCATTTTATTTCTACAATAGCTTGATCCCCAACTAAACCATCTACAATAAATAAAAATATTATAATATACATTTTCTAATTTATATAGGTACTAAATAAAATAAAAACTAAATGGATTTACGACATACTTAATAAAAAAATTAAAAATTAACCTGGACTCGCTGCTAAATATGGAAAACTAATATCTACAACAAGACTACTTCATTGAACATCAAGATTAATGATTTCCTCCAGTTTCTTCTTAGCTTTATGTTCCATATTATGTCCATAGGTCATTTGTTTTGATGTTATTGGGGGTTTATTGAGTATACTGTGAACTATAGTTTTACAGCTGGTATTTTGTCGCATTTTGCAAATTTCGCCAAACCGCGAAGCTGTCAAACTAATTTTACGTTCTTGAAACCAGTTAGGATTCAAGTTTTGATCTCTCGTATTAACCTCTATTTGTTTTAAGTCAACTGTACGCAGGTATTGAATAAATTCATTTTTCTTTTTTTTCTAGTTCATCTTCATCTAATGTATCTATAAGAGGTTCAGCTAACCCATAATGGTTGTCAGGACCTCCTGATCGCGCACTAACAATTTTCTTCCTATAGTTATTTTGGCTATTATATAATTTTCGTCTGTTAATAGTGTTTAACCTTATTCGATCCGTGTTTTTTATAAACCTTTTACCAACCGTTCCTGAAATGTATGTAATACATATAAATATATATGAGTATAAAATCTATTTTGACTTATATTAATGGAAATAAAAATACGAAAATAAAAATAAAAATAAAATAGTAATAAACTAAAAAACTATTGAATAATATAAAATATGTTAATATATAATATATTTAAATACTATTACATTAGTACAATCGGATAATAATTCTAACTGTATCTATACTAGACTAAAATTCATTATTTTTTTATGTATTGTGCGTAAGTAGGTTCTAGAATTAAATGAAATAATAGTTGCTTTTAATCTGGTTGAATAATTATTATTTTGAGAAAAATTAATTCTTTTTCCGCCAACGTATTTATTGATAATTGAGTTAAATTGTTCGCATATATTATTATCAAGATCTTCAATTAAACTATACTCCGTTCCAAAAGAGAAGACACCGGTTTTGCGCAGCTCGAATGACGAGCGTAGCAACGCTTTACCACAATTTTCCCCACTACCATACGCCGATGATCATTTCCGAACTTTACCGACTATTGTCGATGTGTATACACCGAATTACAAAGAATGAAATCAATGCCGTACAACAAAATTAAACAAATACAAGTTACTGCGTAATAACAGTGGCGTCCGCAGGGGGGTGGCTAACGGGCTGAAGCCCCCCCCCATTGCCATATTATTGTTTTTTTTTTTTATATTTACCTCGATTTAATATAGTTTCTTAAATCGTGTGTTTACCTATTTATTGCAAACAATGCAAACAATGCAGACCATATTGTCCTAAACTGACTAAACTCCTAAGGTTCATAGATAATATTTTTATACATCCCATAGTCAGTAAACACGATTGAAGATACTATTTTTAGCCGTGCCACAGTCTATATAAATCTATAATCTATGATAAACATTGAACTGATGTTAGCAACACTATCCGTCTATCCAAACATCGTTATTCCGATGCCCGAGTTATATATAAATTATATACAATCTTATAATATAATATAATATAGCTTTATAGAAATATTTTTGGTTATATAATTTTTTTTGCACAGTAATCCCAAGGTTTATAGATTATAAACCTTGCAGCAATCCGTTGTTTTTGAATCGTTTTGAAGTGTAAGTTGTATAGTTAATACCATTTCATTTTTTAAATTTCTTATTATGTCAGAAAAAAGGACAAGTTTATTTTCGATTTTCAGTTCGAAGAAAAAAAAAACTGTAAGTAATGTAATTTATATATTTAAACAATTAAACAAATATGAACTTTTATTATAACAATTATAGGATGATTGCATTAATTCTGTATCTACTGCTGAAGATAATAATAATGATTCTAAATCTATGTCTAATCATGTGGTACACAACACATCTACAGATTCTACATCTACCTCTATTAATTTGGTATGTATTAATAATTTGATTGTTAATTGTTAAATATTATTTATTATAATGTACGATTACTACCTATGACTTCTTCATTAAATAGTAAGTAAATCATACATTGATTATGACAGGTTATTTTTAACCTGTAATGCTTAGTTACAGTGGTAAAATTAATAATGCTACTTATGCAAATACACAAATATATTTATAGATATATAGCCATATAGGTAGATAAGATTAGGCTTATGTATTATGTATCATATTATGATAACATTTAATTAATATTCATTTAATTATTGGCTTATTGTATTATTGCTATAAATATTAATGGGTTACTGCTTATTAGTTTTTTTTTTTTTTTAATAGTACATTGTTGCTATAATTACCAAACTATTTAAATAAATACAGTTAATACTCAATATAATTTCTTATTTCCTTACAATATCTTGAATTACTATTAAATTATTCTTGATATTTGCTTTTAGTCTTCAGAAATTTATACAAATGATATTGCTTGCTTTTTATCAAACCAAAGACTGAAACAATCTGAAATTGCTAAATGCTTAAAGCTTGCTTGGGTACCTCTACCTAATTTTGCATTTCCAGAGAAGATAGAAGGAAAGCAAAAAAGAAAGTTTCAGTACAAATATTTAACAACATTTCCTTGGCTAGCCTATAGTCATCAAAAAGAAGGCGCATACTGTAAACAATGTATATTGTTTGCATTTTCTGGTGGTGGAATAGCAAATCAGGTAAATAATGCATGAAACTTTTACTTAATAACTATGGTTCTTAACACTATCAGTTACCATTTTTTTTTTATATAGTTATTTAGATAATCTTCATTTAAAATATTAAAATAATAAATAAAGCTTGTTCAATAAATATGGTAATTTAGAAAATTAAATATTAAAACGTACAACATATTATACTATATTTCAGCGTTTGGGAAAATTGGTTACTGAACCCATGGTGAAATTTAAAGATGCCATTAATGAATTCAAAAACCATGAAAAAAAGGAATACCATCTTCTGTCAGTACAAAGAGCAAATGACTTTTTAATAAATTATGAAAGTGGAGGTAATAAAGCTGTTGACGTTCTTCTTGATAAACGTAAACAACAAGTAATTGAAAGCAATAGAAAGAGGATTGTACCAATTATAAAAACAATTCTATTTTGTGCAAGAAATAATTTGCCATTACGTGGGCATAGAGAATCTGGTTTGTTGTCATCAAGTGAAATTAGAAGTAGTTGTTTGAATGGCGAACAAGGAGTTTTCCGTGCACTTCTTTCGTTTCGAGTTGAATCTGGTGATACAGCACTTCTGAACCACATTGAAACTTCACCAAAAAATTGTACAATGATCAGCTCTAGAATACAGAATGAAATAATAGTTGCGGTTGGAGATGTGATAGTAGGAAAAATAGTAGAACGAATCAAAAAATGTATATTTTTTTCAATACTGGTGGATGAAACGACAGATATTAGTACAATTGAACAAATGACTGTGTGTATAAGATATGTAGATACATCTTGCTGGATTATACGAGAAGATTTTGTAGGTTTTGTTGAAATGAACTCAACAACAGGTTTAGCAATAAAAAATTCAATTTTAGATAAGCTTAAAGATATTGGTTTAAGTATAAATAACCTCAGAGGCCAAGGATATGATGGTGGTGCAAATATGTCGGGGAAAAATAATGGTGCTCAAGCTCTAATTCAAAATGACCAACCACTTGCTTTCTACACACATTGTTTCAGCCATTCATTAAATCTTTGTCTGTCTAAAGCTTGTAATGTTCCATCTATTAAAAATATGTTGGGAATTGTGTCTTGCGTTGCTACTTTTTTTTAGTGCATCTGCAAAAAGAGCTGATAAACTAAAGTCAGTTATTGAAGCGGACACAACTAGTAATTCTGAACAAAGTAAAAAAATGAAATTAAAAAAACTTTGTGAAACTCGGTGGGTGGAACGTCATGATGCTCTAATAACATTTAAGAGTTTATACATATACTTAGTTCATGCACTTGAAGATCTACAGAATGATACTAATCTTGAAACTTCGTGCAAAGCCACATTGTACTTAAATTCTATTATGAAAAGTGATTTTTTAGTGTCACTTGAAGTCACTGTTACTGGTTTTTCATATACATTGCAACTTAGTATATCACTGCAAAGTAAGCAGCAAGATTTGTCAAAGGCATTGTCTGATATAATGGTGATTCGATGCGCATTAGAGGAACTTCGAGAAAATGCAGATGTTAACTTTAAAAAAATGTTTAAAGATATCGTTGAATTTGCAGCAAAATTTGATGTCGAAATAAGTATGCCACGAGTTTGTGGACGACAAACTCATCGAGTCAATATAAATGTAACCGATCCAGAAACATATTTTAAAATTTCAGTGTATTTGCCATTTCTTGATTATATAATTCAAGCTTTGCATACACGATTTGATGATAGACTATCTGATGTTATGCCTCTGGAAGGACTGATTCCATCAAATTTTAGTTTATATGATGATGACTCTATTTTAAAGGCAGCTATGCATTATGATAAAGATCTTACATATAGTGATAGTTCATGTCTTAGAGCTGAACTACATATGTGGAGATGTCAGTGGTATAATAATGATGACAAACCACAATCAGTTATTGATACACTACCTCACTGTACAAATCTATTACCAAACATCCAGGTGCTGTTAAGACTGTTTGCCACTTTGCCAATTACTTCTGCTACACCAGAAAGAACATTTTCAACATTGAAACGTTTGAAATCCTATTTAAGATCAACCATGACAGAAGAACGTCTTAATGGATTAGCTTTAGCAAATATAAATAAAAAAGAAAATCTAACTGAATTGGAAGTTATACAACAATTTTCAAAAACATCACCGAAGCGACTACAATATTAGCAGACTGGACCAAATAAAAATATATTTTATTGCTCATTACTTTTGTTATTATATTTTTTGTTAGTTCTTTTTTCATACATTTCTTTCTTGTATATTTTATGCTTAATTTAATTAAGAAATATAAAAGCACTTTATTATTCAAACTTATAAACCAGTGACAACTGAGTAATAATTTATTTTCAAGCCCCCCCCCCCCATTGAAAAATCCTGCGTACGCCACTGCGTAATAATAATCGGTTTCCCAAATAATTATGTCTGAATTATGCTTAGTCCTATATAAATAGCTGTACTTAAAAAAAAATTAATTTTATTAGCAAACATAATACTTATTAATAAGTCCATAATAAAAAATACGGAATTTATTATAGATTAAATTAGGTATATCTGTATGATAAATATAAAATACACAAATATTGAAATAATAATGTACAAACGAGTAACTATATAATGTATAAAAAATAAAAATATTGTCAATAGTAAAAAATCAGTCACATAAAGTATACAAATTAAATATTTACACATAAATTAAAAAATAAAAAATCAGTCACATAAACTGATTTTTTTTTTACTATTGACAATTTTTATTTTTTAATTTATGTGTAAATATTTAATTTGTATATTTTGTGACTGAAGTTTTTTTACTATTGACAATTTTTTATTTTTGTGTAAATATTTAATTTGTATATTTTATGTGACTGATTTTTTTTTTACTATTGACAATTTTTTATTTTTGTGTAAATATTTAATTTGTAAAAAATTGTCAATAGTAAAAATCAGGTCCATATAAACTACTCAAATCATTTACACGAAAATAAAATTGTCAAAAGTAAAAATCAGTCACAAAATACAAATTAAATATTTACACAAAAATAAAAATTGTCAATAGTAAAAATCAGTCACAAAATATACAAATTAAATATTTACACAAAAATAAAAAAACATTAAAAATCAGAAAAATCAGAATCATCTTCGTCATCAGAATTGCCGATAGTTAGTACAACTCTCTGTTGTTCTGCAATCAGTTCATCAATCAAATTGTCCATGTCCCAAAACTTGTCTTCTGCTTTCGTGGTGTGGCTGATAAAGTTTTTCCACATCTCAACAGTAACTTTTACAGTACCTTCGATTAGAAGATTATGTACGTCGGCTAGTTTAAAAGTTTTGTTGTTGGCTTTTACGTGATCTTTGACGACAGACCAAGCTAATTCTATAGAATTTAGCTCACAGTGGTAGGGAGGTAAACGTAAGACTACTTTGTTTTGCTCCTTAACCATTTCGTCAATCACATAGGTTGAATACAAAGGTTTCAATCGTTTTATCACTTCTAATAACTCCGGAATTATCATCGAGTTATCGATTACCTCCCCTTTACTTGTGAGCCAATTGATGATGTCTGCCTTTCGCCATTGCGTAGTTGGACATTTCTCTTTTTTCACTGAGTGATAAGGAGCGTTGTCCATCACAATCACACAATTTTCCTTGAGGCTCGGCAAAACACCTTCCAACCAATCACGAAAAGAATCCCCATTCATCTCGTCGTGATAGTCTTGGGTGTTTTTTTTTGGATTCGAAACATAGAAGCCCACCTGGAACAAATCCGTCTTCGGACCCTATGTGAACTACTATGAGTCGCTTCCCTTTACCTGTGGGATTGACTGCACCTGTTGATAATCCCTGGGAAAAAGCGTCTTGGCTAGATTGTACAGTATTGTCACTCCATATTCCAGTGGCGGTTTTGGCAATAATTTTCTGAGGAGGCGACAAATAATTTCACATAAGAGACCTGTGGGGGGGGGGCTTCGCCCCCCACATCCCTGACCCTATTTAAAAAGGAATAAAATCAAAAATGAATAATTTGTGATCTGTATACTAAAAAAGTAAAAACTCAATAGTAATACATTTAATTGATAAAATTGTATAAGTACATAGTTTTGTGTAAAAATAACTAGTACTTTCTAGTAGGTATAAAATATAAATAAAATATAAAATAACAATAAATAGGTAGGTATATCTAAATTTCAAAATTTGCATTTTTTTCTTTAAAAACAATTTAAAAGTAAAAATGCATTAAACAAATAAAATAATAAGCTCATAATATTTAATTAAAAAAAAAATGATTCAATAAATCTCAACATATAATAAAATATTTTTAGTTATTAAAAACCAATTGACAGCATTTAGTAAGTATAACAAATAAAACAAGTGACTTTCTTATTTTATGTTATAAATTAAATCCTATAGATAAAATATTTGACAATCAATTTCATTACTGACTAGATAAATTTTTCTAATAAAAAAACAAAATTATGTACACTTAACTGCTTAAAAATAAAAATATTAAGTTTTGTATATAAGATCAATAACTCTTTCTTTCTGACTAGCATACATATTTATGACATCATCAAAAAAAGGTTCAGTTTCTTTAAGTTGTTGTATTAATAATTTTTCAATTGATATTGTTGACAAAGAGCTTAAACGTTGTTGACAAGTACTATTTCTCAGATAAGTTTTGATTCTTTTTAGGCAAGAAAAACTTCTTTCAACTGAAACGCTTGTTGAAGGAATAGTTAATATTAATGCAAATAATTTATACACCTCTGGCATAACTTCTTTTAACCCATCACTCTCAAAGATTTTAATTAGGTCATAAACATGTTGAAGATTGTGATACCTAATATCACTGTACAAAACTTCTAATTCAGTTTTTAGTTTATTATTGTCTTGAAAGATATTAGTAAATGTATTTTTAAGACAATTCAAGCCACTATCAGGAAATCTAGTAGAATATTCTTTAAATTTTGTAACATCACCTAACTGTAAAAATTTTAATTTATCAGTATCACTAAATCTTGTATTCAATTGCATTATAATATTATCTATTATTTCATAAAATAACATTTTACAACTTAATTCATTTTTAGAATTTTGTCTTGTTGTTGTGGTATGTTTTGTTAATTCAACTGCGGTATTAAAATAGTTTAAGAAATTATCATCGTTCCTTTTTTTTTTCTATGAGATCACATGTTGTTTTTATTTTTCTAAGACAATATTCTATGTCAAAGGATTTAGTTTGTAATGTATTGAATAAATGGTTAGTGATTAAAAAAATATCATTAAAAATGTGTGCTATAAAAGCAAACTCAAAAGACTTCAAATTTTTTGAATGCCCAATAGCACCACAAATTGATTCTGCAGATGATTTTGGATCAATGCTAATAGTGTCAAAAACAGTTATAAAGTTAGGCCACTCATTGACTAACAAATTCAAAATTTTTGAACGTGAAGACCATCTTGTTTGAACAAATTGTGGAATGCGTTTTCCTACTATATAATCAACAACGTTAGTGCGTGAGGTGGAATTATGGAAAAAAGCTGAGATTCCAGTTAGATTTGCAAAAAATATACGACATTTTGAACTCATATTACAGCCATTTTGCAGTACCAAGTTTAACCTATGCGCTAAACAGTGAGTAAATATTGCATTGGGTGCAACATCTTTTACTCTCGCTTGTAATCCTGTCAAATGCCCTGTCATTACACTTGCCCCATCGTAACATTGGCCAACTAACTTTTTCTCTATGTCAAACTCATTTAAAACAGAACTTATCAGGTTAAATAATCCTCCGGCTGTATGATCATCACTTACATTATGAAAACCTAGAAATCGCTCAACTAATTCTGAATTTTTATTAACGAACCTTAAAATGATAGAACATTGTGTTTTTTTGAGTTATATCAGTGGTGTCATCTATTTGAACAGAATAAAACATGCATTGTTTGATTTCTTGTTTGATATGACTAAACAAGTATTCAGAAATGCATGTAATTAAATCATTTTGAATTGTTTTTGATAAACCAGAAAACTTATTTTGAATACTTTTATAGTGGTTTTTTATTTCTAATGAACACCTACTAAAAACTATTTCAAAGAGCTCTTTATAATTTCCTTTATTTAAAGAATTGCTACTTTCATCATGGCCACGGAATGCTAATTCTTGTTTAGCCAAAAATATAATTATTTCAATAATGTGCTCCATAAATAATCTATTCAGTCTCACATTTTCGTTATAATGCTTTTTAAATAACTTTCCATGTTCACTGAGAGCATCAACAATAGTTACAGAATTTTTTTCTAAGTTTTTAAGTTAAAATGATTTCGAATATGCTCCTTTGACAACTCATGTCTTTGTAAACTTCTAGGCAAATTTTTAATATCACAATACCCTTCAGTAGACCAAAAAGACTTTGTATGCCCTAATACCAAGCAAGGCCAACAAAATAATTTTTGTAGGTAATAACTGCCACATAGCCAAGAGTGTTGTTTATACCAAGCTACACTAAATGATCTAGAAAACACTTTGCCACCTTTTTTGTCAGAAGTTAAACATGATAAAGATGGAGTTGGTTTACCTTGCTCAAGTATATCTGTTTTATCACGAGTATTACATTGACTGAATGGAGTTCCAAGTAAACATACAATTGGGTCATATATTGGATTCATATTTTTATACAATAAGAACTAAAACCACGAATCACAAAAAAACTAGAAACACTCAAAACACTAGAAACAATAGGAAGTAGGGACTAGAATTACTATACTTGTACTTATAATTGATAACGTCTTATAAATAATTGCATAAGGACTAATCAGTAATCACTAATGATTAATACAACATACAATATTACAAAATTAATTATTATAGTAACCAATAACTATACATTTTCAATTTTCATAATTATTTACTTTTATGCATAGAGATATACGATTTATTTTGATAATTGAAAATGAGCAGTTTTGTGATTGTGTCACTGTGATAAGCCGCGAGGTTGATCCTTATCACTGAAGGAGGCGAAAATGTTTATTGCCGCCCAACTAGCAAAGCGCATGCGCAGTTCAAACGATTGTTTATGTGTGTGAGTGTGTAATTTCGTGTACACTTTGATAGCAAGGTAGGCAACAGAATCGGTTGCCGCCTCAAGCCTCTACAGCGGGCAGCTGT